TTTTTCTTTCTTTCCTTTGCAATCAATACAGCCATCAATCAGTAAATACTATATACTAAACAAATACATTTCTTGCATTTTTTAAAATCACTCCTATAATTTCTCAATGTATATTACACAATGTGGGGAAAATATACATACACCATTAATTAAAACGCAATAATTATTGAACCCAAAATTATTATATGTAGCAATTCATTGCCAGAGGTTTTCTAGCCTTCTTTTTAAATAGTAAGACACGATTAAGTAATGAATAAACTTTACTGTGCAATTAGTAAGACATCTGAAAAACCTAAAAGGAATTTAAAGGGGAGTATAAGATAAGACTGACATCAATGATGAGAGTTTGGAGAACAAGTTGCCAATGTTTGCACATTAAAATAATGTAGGTACTCATCCTATCTAAGGCCTCCATCGCCATTATGATTTCTCAAGAGGATAAAGATATGTGATTCCAGGATGCAGCTTCTTTCCCCCATCCCCGACAGAGTATACAGAATCTATACATCAGAACTATATTCCAGAGAGTATTTCTCAGTCCCCTCAGGAAGAGAGTTTGGGATTTTTAGGCCACTATATAGATGACAAATTATATTGCCCAAGGTTTTCAAAAGGTGCCTAAAGCTAGACTCCTAAGTCTATATTTTGGTACCAAAATAAGTGGTCTGATTTACCAAAATAATCAGTTGATTCCACAGTAAATTGCCAATAATTATAATTTACATGGCAGTATGAATTTCTGATATCATTAACCTTTCCTGTTCATATTTTAAAACAAAAGTTTTTTAAAAAGAAAACCTCAAAGCCTGTAAACTGTGCCTCCAAGTAATTTGTTGTCCTCCCTCCTCAAGTACCTTCATTTATTTGTTACGACGACTAGTTAGATCTTGTCATAAATTAGACTGGAAGCTCTTTGTGGCAGCTCCTAAACACGAGGTCCCAATCCTGACACATAAGAGACAAGTGGATATAACAATACGTTGAAGGAGGGAAAGAGGAAAGAAAAGGGTAACAAGGACACAACACATGTTCCCATAGGCTGGTTACGTGCATAATTTGATGGTTTCAAGTAATTTAAAATTGTTTTAAAAAAATAAAAATACAAGGGTAGTATTTTCAAAAACATTCACTGTTTTCCTAACAATTACTTCAATGGGAGCACAAGTAGGCCAACACTGAGCTCTTTGGAAAAATCTCTCCCTAAGTAAATAACATAGATATTAGCAATCCCCTCTGACAATCCAACTAGCTATAATCAGTTGGACAAGTTCCCATAAGCAAGAAAAATGTTAAATAATGCTAAAGAGCTGCTATTAGTGGCCTACTAACATATAAAGGAAGTAAAACACCAAAGCGAGAAAAATGGATAAAACTTCATGAAGGAGTTTTTCTTGATAACGGGCAGACCAGGGTGAAAAAGACCATGATTTATGACAAATCTCTAAAAGCCAGTTTTGTCATGGAAATCACATGCATGACAAGCATGCCTCGTTAAATGTAGCTGCCAGCCAAAGGAATGGAGAATAGTTGATCTTGCCATTCTTTTTCTACTCCAAGTCTCTTTAACCAGTGAAGAATTAAGCCTTCTTGCTTTCATGGGATGAGACTACAAAATGTTGTCATCCAGAATTAATGTGTGAGCCCTCTACCTGTAAACTCGCTTTGATACTGGTTTAAATATGGCAAACAAAATATAATATGTGTGAGAAAATCAATTAATGAGCCATAACTAAACATATGACCAAATCATATTGATATGAAAATGCTTTGAAAAAAGTTATCTACGTATCCTTTTGCTCTTTGGACCATTAGATGTGGCCCTGAGCCTTGGCTCCCCCAGGGCACAGATAAATGACAGAGTTTGCAGACATTATACGCTTAAGTAAAATGACACGTGTATCCCATAGTTTCTATGGTTTCCTATTAGAAGACACACAAAACCAACACAAATTAAAAAATTTAAAATATGAGGAGGAACAGGGAGAGGTAGTGTACAGATGTGGTCTAACACCACTCCCTCCAAAATGACAAACAGCTCTGTAAGAAAGCAACAGTAGAAAGCGGACACTGGCAAACATTTTGTGACCTACTCCATTGGAAACTTGAAGTCAAAAGAGTGGTCAAATATTAAGGAGTAAGCTTTCTTTAAAGTCTCCACTATTTCCCCTCTCTCCTACCCAAGAAACTTTGTATCATGATATTGATGCCAATGGAGCTATGACAATTTACACCAGCTCAGGGTCTGTCCACCTCCCCCCCACCCCACAATATGGAACAGTCATGACATTTTAATTATTCAGCTTCATTCACTCTAAACTTGTGAGAACACTATGACACAGATAGCCCTTTTTCCTATGTCACAGTAATGATTTGTCCCCATAATTTTGGTATTTATCACAATATTGTAATTGATGCCAGGTGTCAAAGATTGCCAGCTCACGGCGCACGCAAATCTCCTAAACTCAAGCCCCATCCTAATATCAATTAAAATCTCCACAGTAATCTGTAGAACTAAATTACGCTTACCAAAGGTTTTTATTTAGCCCTCATTACTGTAGAATCTGAGCACCTCATAATCTTACCCACATAACACCCTGTGAAGGAGAGAAGTACTATTTATCCCCATTTTTACAAATGGGGAACTGAAGCTCCGAGACTAAGGCCCAGATTCACAGAGTTACTTAGGCGCCTAATTCCCTTTGAAATTAGCTGAGTTAGGTGCCTAAACACATTTGTGAATCTAGGCCTAAGGGACTTGCCCAGAGTCATATGAGAATTCTGTGGCAGAGGAGGGAATTGATCCCAGGTCTCTCAAGTCCCAGGCTAGCACTTGAACACTACGGGACCATCCTTCTATTCAATACCTGTTGCTGTTATAAAGAAGGAATAATCATACTTTACATTTATATAGATCACAAACTATATACTTACACCACTTGGAAGCAAGGAAAAGACAATTGGAATTCAACACTGTGCAGGTGGGGATTTGGGCCAAGGACACGCAAATGTTAGCCTCAGGTTATTAAAAATAGAATCTGTGCAGCATATCCTATCCATATCATCATCAACATCTTGTTGAATGCTATATTTGGGGATAAACTATAATACTGGGGCTTGAAATAATCATTATTTCTCAACAGCACCTGTTCATTTCAATTATGTACAGTTCTATATTTCTGAAACACAAGATTTTGGTTGACTGCATACAAAGTCTATTTCAGAATGTGTCTGATCTCAAACTAATGCTTTGGTAAAGGGAGTATTTTTGAGAAGGGAAGTCTAATGAGAAAAATATTGTGAAACTAGAGGACATACAAAGAATGTGCTGTGACTGATAGAAGTTCTGGTCTGTTTTTTTTTTTTTAAATGAGCTGAGCTGTATTTTATTCAAACTAACACATCCTTCATCCTTCCTCAAGCCTGTTTACTCAGCTGGATGTCCACAGAGTCCAATTTTCCCTCCAATTGCCCTTGTACACTAATATAATTGCTGCTTCGATGGGTAATTGGTCAGCCTACAGCAGGGTTTGCATGCATTTGTTCATCTGTACTACCTGGCAGCCCCTCAAACAATTTACAGCCTCCAAGTATTATTGAATACTTTGTTTCATTTCATTCATAAAAGGACTAGACATATCTAGAAATCTTTCAAAAAGCTTTAAGCATTCCAAATATTGCAGCATATATATTCTTCTTTTTTTTTTTAAATAGAAAAGTGGCAAAAGGTCTGTTTCCACATATCAGAAAGGAGAGAGACAAACATGATTCATTTGTTTCTAATTTATAAAATACTAAAATAAAGTAGTAGAGATCAACCAGATTTGAAATTATTACATGGGGAAAGAGCCCAGTAAAACTCCAGACAAGAAAAAACTGACATTACTAGCAATAAGTAGGAATTGTTTTCTCTGGAATATACAAACAATATAGAATATTAGAAGGTGGTTTTATGCTTTTGTGGAAGGATCATTATAAAAGTGATTTTATTAATTATTATTAATAAAACAATCAGGTTTTTGGTTTGAAATAGAACAAGCAAGTCTTGTGTCATGAAACATTATCAAGTAGTAAGCCATTACTCATGAAGTACCACAACTCAGCCATTTTAATAATTTCCTTGAATATCCGACAATCACCCTTTTTCTTTTACTCATGATTCTTGCTGTGGAACCATCCTAGGAGTTGGAATGAGCAATTTCCCCTCTCCCATCTCCACTATGGCTCTGTCTACTGTTAAATCTAGTTTGTTTCAGGATTCAATTTCTTCCCATCCACATTTTACTTAACAACTTTATTTTTTTTTCCCCTTTCCTCCCCATATCCTTGTGTAGCCATTACCATATCTCACCTCTCACCTGGATGGCAGAACTGTTGCCATTCCCATCAACTAGAAGGCACATTAATCAAGATGGTGTCCTTTTGTAAAACCAGGCTTCGTGAACGATGCTGGATTGTACAGGCCCACAGTTCCTTAGACGTGGTAAGTCTAATATTTATGGACTTTTTGCCTCACAATGCTTCCACAGCCAATATCTATTTTATAACAGAACAAAATATGCAACTTCTCTGTATCTGGAACTCTGTGACATCAATGAAAATTATGCACAGGGCATGGCTGCAAAATCAGGCCCATTTAAGCAGTACAAAAGAAAAAAAAACAATATTCTAAGAATGGTACTCCTAAGACCTTGCTACTGCAGGAAAGAGGGTTATGAGAGAGGGAACAAGGTTAGATGCACTGCAGAATAAATAAAAGCAAATTTAGCCATAATGGAGGCAATAAGAATAGATAATACTTTCTCTACTCCTGTTCATTTTTGGATCATACCAACATAGAAACATGTTTTACATGCAGAATTGTTAAAGCAAATAAATATGATGCAAATCTGAAACAGACTGAGAAAACATTAGCAAGGTATTTACAGCAAAATAAATAAATAAATAACGCAGCAATTTAAACTGTAAACTGATTTTTAAATGATGGCCAGAGGAGGAAAAACTGAGAATTTTTTATTTTTATTTAAAAATAAAATTTCTAAAAATACAGTACATAATACACATAAATACAAATAAAAATATCCACAATTTAACTTAAATCATTCTGGAAAGAAAAATAGAAATATTACACAAATGAAACAATCATCAAAATGAATACAAATCATTATTTATGAAGTGGATACACATTTCACGTTTTGATTTTTATAAAAAGAATACCAGAGCAAGTGTCCCTGTTTTGGTACCGTTCTCCCATTCACCTCACACATCATACATTAATTATTTATGTATTTCTTTTGCTAAACTTCAGCACTAGTCATTCTCAACATGTCTAATGTAAACAGTATTAAAGTAATAGTAAACAGTCAAGGTAAAATAGAGAACAAAACAATAAAAACCACCACCATGCAGATTAAGTGACTTACAAAATTTGATATAGTTTGCTACAGAATATATTTTATTATGGCACTTGGGTTGAAAACCGTTAAGGAGACAGAGTATCTATATAATCTTCAGTCTTGCAGACCTGGGAAAATCAGTTTACGTAAATTCAGAAAAATATTGATTTTTCCCACAAATGTGCACATATCATGAAGTTTGCCTCAGACTTCCTGTATACCTTGTGAAGTGTATATTCTACTTTAGGTCCAAATTATACTTCAGAGGTATACAGGTGGAACTCTACTGAAGTTAATGGGAGCAACAGAGCAGATTTTGAACCTCAGGTTCTAGTTCAGCAAGGGACTACTCATGTGCTTCAAAGTAGGCTCTTATTGTCGGAATCAGGCTCTTATTGTCTGAAATGCTCAGCTACGTTGTGCTAGTTTTTAGTAGTGTTTTGGAAGATGATGCTTTTAAAAATATCCAGGATGTGATAAAGGCATAACAGAACAAAATGGCTGATTTGGGCTTTGAAGGCAGCTCTTGTAATTGTCCAGCAGCACTCTCCACAAATTTTTTTTTTTTAAATATAAACAGTAGCATCCCCTGATGCCAAAAAGGTTTTGAGATCTTACCATTTTGACCAGTCCAGATCATAATTAGCCTTAATCCAAGAGAAATGACTATTTTCCCCTTTATAAAGGCAGGGGACAACTGCCAGCATGTATTCTGCACTCTTAACTATCTTCAACCTGAACTACAGACACAAAAAGTAAACATAAGGTGCTTGATTTACAGTATATTGTCTACAATGACAATACTATTTTGATATAAACAACATACAGATGAGGCATCTATTGCATTTCATTTGGTTTTCATATATCTTTGAACAGTACTGAAGTGATCTATAATCGGTGTATTTTCAGACAGATTACTTTGATAATTTGATTAATTCAATCTGTGAAGACAGAAGTCGTTTCACTGTTGTATTTTTTCAGTTACAAAATGTTTTTATAATAATTTCAAAGCCTAATAGTGTATCTATATTCAACAGGGAAATTGATTACTTTTCGTGGTTTCACTTTGAACAAGTTTAACCATGCTTTGCTTTGATTGTCTGCCTGGTGTCGTTCTGAACATGCATTTGTTACCTCCTGCTAACTGAAGTAAATATTCCTTATTAGTTCATGAATTGTCTGATTTAACATTATGTATGACTTTCCATCATTTTTAGATGGATTTCTAAACAGATCAGATCTGTGTTTTATTGGCGAAGAGAGAGAAAATAGTGGCCAGTAACAGTATCATTGGCTAAAGCTACACAGATGGCAATTTCTTCCACATATCTGGAATTTTTTGTTAAGCTTTCAGAGATTTTGCAGAGAACAATATGAGCAGTCTGCATGCTTTACAAAATTATAGCCCTTTAGCAACCAGTTCCTCTTCTGCTTCTATCCCAATCCACTCTGAAAACTGTAACGCTTGCCTAGATGAGGTGGATACATTTCCTGCTTCATAGGAAAGATGGGAAGTATGCAAGAGACTACCCTGGCTCAACCAGGAGATATTCAATGATCTAAAAATCAAAAAAGAGAGTCCTACAAAAAGTGGAAACTAGGTCAAATTACAAAGTATGAATATAAACAAATAACACAAGTATGTAGGGACAAAATTAGAAAGGCCAAGCACAAAAGGAGATCAAACTAGTTAGAGACGTAAAGGGTAACAAGAAAACATTTTACAAATACATTAGAAGCAAGAGGAAGACTCAAAATGTGGAAATGGCAGAGGTGCTTAATGACTTCTTTGTTCCGGTTTTCACAAAGAAGGTTGGTGGTGATTGGACGTCTAGTGAATGCAAGTGAAAATGAGGTAGGATCAGAGGCTGAAATAGGGAAAGAACAAGTTAAAAATTACTTAGACAAGTTAAGATGTCTTCAGGTCTAACCAGGATCTGATGAAATGCATCCTAGAATACTTAAGGAGCTAACTGAGGAGATATCTCAGCCATTAGCGATTATCTTTGAAAAGTCATGAAGACGGGAAAGATTCCAGAGGATTGGAAAAGGGCAAATATAGTGCCCATCTATAAAAAGGGAAATAAGAACAACCTGGGGAATTACAGACCAGCCAGCTTAACTTCTGAACCTGGAAAGATAATGGAGCAAACAATTAAGCAGTTAGTTTTTAAACATTGAGAAAATAATAAGGTGATAAGTAATAGTCAGCATGGATTTGTCAAGAACAAATCATGTCAAAGAAACCAGATAGCTTTCTTTGACAGGGTAACAAGCCTTGTGGATAGGGGGGAAGCAGTAGACATGGTATATCTTGACTTTAGTAAAGCTTTTGATATTGTCTCACATGTCCTTCCCAAAAACAAACTAGGGAAATGCAACCTCAATGGAGCTACTATAAAGGTGGGTGTATAACTAGTTGGAAAACTGTTCCCAGAGAGTAGTTATCAGTGGTTCACAGTCATGCTGGAAGGGCATAATGAGTGGGGTCCCCTCGGGATCAGTTTTGGGTCCGGTTGTGTTCAATATCTTCATCAATGATTTAGATAATGGCATAGAGAGTACACTTATAAAGTTTGCGGATGATACCAAGCAGGGAGGGGTTGCAAGTGGTTTGGAGGATAGGATTATAATTCAAAATGATCTGGACAAACTGGAGAAATGGTCTGAAGTAAATATGATAAAACTGAATAAGGAAAAATGCAAAGTATTCCACTTAGAAAGGAACAATCAGTTGCACAAATACAAAATGGGAAATGACTGCCTAGGAAGGAGTACTGTGGAAAGAGATCTGGTCATCATAGTGGACCACAAGCTAAATGAGTCAACAGTGTAATACTGTTGCAAAAAAAAAAAAAAAAAAAAAGGCAAACATCATTCCGGGATGTATTAGAAGGAGAGTTGTAAGCAAGATATGAGAAGTAGTTCTTCCACTCTATTCCACACTGATTAGGCCTCAACTTGAGTATTGTGTCCAGCTCTGGGGACAACATTTCAGGAAAGATATGGATAAACTGTAGAAAGTCCAGAGAAGAGTAAGAAAAATGATTAAAGGTCTAAAAATATGATCTATGAGGGATGATTGAAAAAATTGGGTTTATTTAGTCTGGAAAAGAGAAGACAGAGGGGATATGATAACAGTTTTCAAGTACATAAAATGTTACAAGGAGGAGGGAGAAAAATTGTTTTTCTTAAATGCTGATAGGACAAGAAGCAATGGGCTTAAATTGCAGCAAGGGAGGTTTAGGTTGGACATTGGGAAAAACTTCCTAACTGTCAGGGTGGTTAAGCACTGGAATAAATTGCCTAGGGAGGTTGTACAATCTCCATCATTAGATATTTTTAAGAGCAGGTTAGACAAACACCTGTCAGGGATGGTCTAGATAACATTTAGTCCTACAATGAGTGCCAATACTCATTTGCAATACTAGAAAACATAGGATGCCGCCAACCCTGTTAAGTCTTATACGTTCATTCCACAACAACATGAGAGCAACCGTCCAGTTTGATGGGTCCACTTCGGGCAGCTCTTAGATGAAAAGTGGAGTAAAGCAAGGATGTGTTCTTGCCCCTACACTCTTTGGAATCTTCTTCTCAGTACTCTTGAACTTTGTTTAAGGACATGAAAGATGGAGAGTATCTCCACACAAGATCAGATGGGAAACTCTTCAACCTGTCCCAACTTAAGTCAAAGACCAAAGACAAAAAGTGCTAATCAGGGAACTTCTATTTGCAGATGCTGTTGCCCTCATCGCCCACAATGAAGATCTGCTACAATAACTCATGGACCACCTTTCAAGTGCCCGTCAGGCATTTGCTTTTACCATCAGCATCAAGAAAATGGTTGTATTAGGAAAAGGGGCTCCACAAGACCTTTCAATTACATTAAATGCAAACCAGCTAGAAGTAGTCCAAAAGTTCAGCTATTTAGGTTCTACAGTGACCACCAACCTCTCACTGGATGAAGAGCTAAATGTTCACATTGGAAACGGTGCCACCACCTTTAGCAGACTAATTAAAAGAGCATGGAACAACTCAAAGCTTATCATCAAGACCAAAATGCTAATGTACCAAGTTGCGTCCTCAGCACTCTCAGGTATGGTGGGGAAACATGGATAACTTATGCTCATCTGGAGACAAGATTAAATGGTTTCCACCTATGTTGTTTACCCCACATACTCAACACTAAATGGCAGGAAAAAGTCACCAATGCAGAGGTTCTTCGAAGGGCAAACTTACCATGTGTGACAGCCCTGCTCAAGCAAAGATGACTGCGCTGGCTGGGCCACCTGAATAGGTTGGAAGACTGACACATACTCAAGGACATGCTATACGGGGAGCTATCAGAGGGAACAAGAACAACAGGATGTCCCAAGCTTTGCTATAAAGGCACATGCAAGCAAGATAGGAAGGAATTTGGAATTGATCCTGACCAATGGGAAATCTTGGCAAGTGATCGTAACAAGTGGCACCATCATCTCCATCAGGGTATCAAAGCCCTTGACAGAAGCTGCCTCCTACAGCTTGAAGAGAAAAAGACCCCATAGGAAGCAAGCAAGATACATACACTTGCAATAACTGCCAAAGATCATGCAAATCTCGGATTGGACTATTCAGTCACATGGGACATTGCAAACCATCTACATCATAGGCTTCAATTCCCACTGCCTCTCGCAGACAAAAGGATTCCAACAAACATGAGTGCAGGGGACTGGACTAGAGGACCTCTTGAGATCCCTTCCAGTCCTATAATTTTTTAAATGATAGAATAAAGTGTGTCAGTGTAACATGGATGAAATAAATCTTTTACATTGTGCATAAGGAAGAATTTAAGTGACTGAGATCAGTGCCACGTAATTTGCTCTCAAAATCCCAGTTTGTTGAATTACCCTGTGAATTAACTGAATTGTGTTAGAATAATTCAATTAAATGGCAAAAACATACTTTACTATCTGGCATAATTACAAAACCATCCATAATGAACATTTGAAATCAACTATGCCAATAAAGTCTGGATACAGAATTTTGATAAACAGAAACTGGTCGGACTGAGATTAAATCTAAATTTACAAAGCATATGTATGTGAGAACATAAGTCTCCCAAGTGGAACAAACCATAAAAGTTTCTTCTTTGGTGCAACAGTCAGGATCTCCCGTTACTGAATGCTACTATAGTAGTACCAGGACACTGCGTACAGTACATTTTGTCAGGAAATACTGACTTCAGGCACACACAGTTTAAAAATAACTTGAATATTATGTGTGTGTGTCAAAAACAATGCTGAAGATGAACAGTTAGTTCCTGCTGTGTCTTACTACATCATGAAAAAGCCCTATCCTGAAGAACAACCCCTCACTCTCACATACCTTGGGAAACAGGCCAGTCCTCACTTACAGACAACCCCTCAACCTGAAGCAAATACTCACCAGCAACCACACAACAAAAACACTAACCCAGGAACCCATCCTTGCAACAAAGCCCGGTGCCAACTCTGCCCACATATCTATTCAGGGGACACCACCACAAGGCCTAATCACATCAGCCACACTATCAGAGGCTCGTACACCTGCACATCTACCAATGTGATATATGCCATCCTCTGCCAGCAATGCCCCTCTGCCATGTACACTGGCCGAACTAGACAGTCTCTATGCAAAAGAATAAACGGACACAAATCAGACATCAAGAATTATAACATTCAAAAACCAGTTGGAGAAACTTCAACCTTCCTGGTCACTCAATTTCAGACCTAAAAGTTGCAATTCTCCAACAAAAAAAAACTTCAAAAACAGACTCCAACAAGAAACTGCAAAATTGGAATTAATTTGCAAACTAGACACCATTAAATTAGGCTTGAATAAAGACTGGGAGTGGATGGGTCATTACACAAAGTAAAAACTATTTCCCCATGCTAATTTTTCCCCCACTGTTACTCACACCTTCTTGTCAACTGTTCGAAATGGGCCATCCTGATTATCACTACAAAAGATTTTTTTTCCCTGCTGATAATAGCCCACCTTAACTGATTGGTCTTGTTACAGTTGGTATGACATTACCTATTTTTTCATGTTCTCTGTGTGTGTATATATATATATATATATATCTTCCTACTGTATTTTCCACTGCATGTATCCGATGAAGTGGGTTTTAGCCCACGAAAGCTTATGCCCAAATAAATTTGTTCATCTCTAAGGTGCCACAAGTACTCCTCGTTATTTCAACACTAGCTCAGAATCCACAAAAGAGTATGACAGCTTTTCTGCATGTTTGCTTACACAGAACCAACTGGGGATTACATACCTGAGGATTTTAAGTAATTAAACCCCTTGCTCCCAATCCTAGAAGACACATAAATATGTATTTACAGTTGCACCACAATAGAATAAAAGAAATGTAACTGGAGAGATTGAGATCTAAAAATAAAAATATATCCTACATCTTCTCAGGCTGTCAAAGCACAGTGACTTTTCCTTTTGCCAAAGAGAGCCTAGCATGCCTGTAGCTACAGCTAGTCAGTGGTGGTGTTCACATGACTGGGGGACTATTATCAACTATTATTTAGTTGATTATTATTAGTAACCAAGGTGCTCTCAGCCACAGGGTGCTCGGGAGCAGAAGGACTGAGCTGGGCCTATCTATACCAGCAAAATTCTTATGTTGTAGAATAATGTTATAACACAGTATGACTTGTCTGCATAGATGGGACCAAACTACATCATAATCAGGTGAGCCCTCAAAGTTCAGATCCCCTGTTGTCAGATAATGAGTTAGTCCCTCACAAGGAAACTTCAAACCTAGTGACTTAAGCACTCTCTGCAAAGGTTTTCATTTTCATACCACACTCATCCTTACCATGCATACTTAGTATGCTGCAGTATGCTGTTTAAATGTAAAAGTGACCAGAAAGGTTACTAGATGCAGAGCAGGACTGCAAGGCAATGGTGTCTTCATTTTCAGAGAAGTCAAACACCTGTATCTTCCATAGGCTTCAACTGGAAATGTGGGTACTTAGCACTTCCGAAAACTCAAGTGTTGTATGGCAGTTGTATTTGGACACAGATGCCTCCTTCCCAAATAAAAAGTTTACATATGTCATTAATACTGACAGACAATTCAGTTAGGCAAATTTACTCAGCAATACAAAGCTGCCCAAAATCAGGCATGAACTAATACACCAGGATCTGGACCCTACAGTTTCAGGAGGCCTCCAAATGGTCTTTTGAGGAGCACTAGACACCATGGGGCTGCCTATACTTTGTTGCTGTCAGCTTGGCACACGTGGAATCCGAAGGCAGCAGTGGGACAGGAGGATTGGGGTAATGTGGTGAAGCAAGTTTTTGTGCTCTTCTCATCATGGATTCTGACTACTAACCTGATGCACATGGGAATAGTGACCTGAGGCCTAGAATGCAGCAGTGTGCATAAGAGAAGCAGTGAAGAAGCTAAAGAGGGTGGCACAATAGCTTCCTGTTCTGATCGACAGTGATTTGGAAAAGAAAAATCCAGACCAGAGATGGTTGGCTGAGCTGAAGAGACAACCCCTGAGATGTTTGTAGGTCTGACCCATGAAGACACCTTTCACTGAGAGCCTGTGGATAGATGGAGTGTTTGGTCAAATTGCTTTTTAGTAGCAAACTCTTGGCTACAGAATGTAGTATAAGGTATGATGGCCTGGTGATCGAAAAAGACTGATACTAACTGGTTTGAAGGACAAATGCAGAACAATAATTTTGGTTCTCAGAAAATTAAATCAACATTTCTGTTCTCTCAGTGGCAGAAGTATGGGTGAAACAGGAACTTGTTATAAGCCTTGGTAAAGCAATTAATTAGTTGATTATTCCATTATACATAACAAGGCAAGAGGTGGGATACGCACTACTTCACACTACTCTTGTATCTTTCAGTATTGGATATCACTGAGGTACACTTAGGTGTTTATTTCACAATAGTTTAAATTGTAACTATTTTAATGCAGATTAAGTAATATTATTTATCCTCAGTGGGATATGAGACATAGCTCTTATGCCATATATATGTGGAAGAAGTGACTTATTTCGCAGGAGGTCAATACTCCACCATATTTGGAACAGATCAGTTAGTCTTTTTAGTAGGGGGATGTTATATCCAGTTGGAAAACTGGGCTCAGGACTAATTATAAGCACTGTTTGTTAGCTCTGTCTTGTAATACAGTTGGTTAGTTAAAGAAAGCTACAGTGGTCTCTTATTATTTGTGGTTGGCAGTAAAATCAAGTTTGGGGAAAGGAAGGGTATAGAAATCATAGACATGTTAAATGATATGATGTATCTTCTACATGACAGAAAAGTCTGCTATTGTTGTATTGATGCCAGAAAGGCTGGCAGATTATATACAACTTATAAAATAAGCATAAGTTTTGCTGTGAACTAGTGAAGCCATTTACGTAACTAATGTTTCACTGACTTATTACAGCAAATTCTCCGTAGCAATGATGCTCAGATACCATCTTCATGATCAAGGCTCCTTACATAGATAACTAGAGGTTTGCTACAATACAAACTGCAACAACTATTTGCTCATTACTGAAGAAAAATATCTTTTGCATATTTACTGAATAAAACTGGGCAGCACAGGATGTGCTTTTTAAAGAGTTCTGTGTCAAATATTATAAGGTGATGAATGGAAAAGAGGGATACAACGTACATATAAATTGTATAGTTCCTGCTGTTTGCATCTTGTTCAGTTTAGAAAAGCTGAAACAAACAACTCTTTTGGAGCCATCCTAACTTCCTTTTTGTTGGATATAAATCTTTCTCCCCCATTCATCCTCTTATAAGATCCAAGATGCACAGGAGTTTTCCTACTGCAAAGTCTGTCCAACCATCCACGTTCTTACATCGGCACCCGTCGTTTTACATCCTTTGTAGCGATTCTTAGTCATGTCTATCAGTTGCCTGTTTCTTCAGTGAAATGCAAACCTGATTAGTAATAAGTCATACCCAAGAGTGAAAAGAGAATATTTCTTAACTTCACTGCCAGCCAGAACTGTTTTTAGTAACATTTACAGAGAAATTATTGTGATGTGGCTCACTCATTTAAATGCCCAGCACCAAAGGTATACTGTTGGCCAACATTTAACTAGGAATCTTTCTTCCATTTAGTTTCAAAATGCCCATGCTGGTAGCTCAGATGTCTTAAGTGCAACTTGAAACCACTAGCTCACGGCAAAAGATGTTAATGTTCCAAATGCCTTACTGTCCAGACTCCAACCAACCCTTCTGATGTCATACTTCTACTACATCACAACATCCCGTTGCTAAAAAGGAAACAAAATGTTTCCAGAGCACTCTCAGAGCTTGGATTTCCATTTATATGCTGCAGTAAATATAGCTATTATTGTCTCATAGCTAATATATCTACAACAGTCAATTACATGTGTACTTATTAATAGGCAATCCCTTAGTACTGTTCGTATTCACAAGGTTTATGAACTTTATAGCTTGTCTATATGAGGAGTTATTCTGGAGTTGCTATTCCTAAATAACCTCCTGTGTAGACACTCATTATAGATTAATAATTCACACAGGGAATGAAACAAATAACTACTCTGCATAAAATTAATAAAACCCTACTTTAATCTGAATTAACTTCCCTGTGTAGACAAGCCTTACAAAAGAGTAATAGAGCAGATTAATATTAAAACCTGACCAAAGTCGCAATACAACAAAAAGGGAACAAATGCAAGAAAATAAATAGCAGCTAGTATACAGTACCGTTCTACTCTCTCCAGGCTACTTTGAAATGTGGTTCTGTCCCTCTTCCAATTTTGATATCATCCACAAATTTAATCAGAATTGAATTGACACCAAAGAAACAGGCAGCTGATAGAAGTGAATAAAACTAGCTACATGGGCTATAATACGAATAGGGTTTTTTTTGTGTGTTTGTGTTGGTTTTTTTTAAGATTAGGTGGTCAAATATATCATCTGAACCACCAGAGCCCCAAATACGGGGCTACAGCTACAGAGAGAAGTGTTACTAACATTACTGCTAGAAGATCCTTTACATCTGTGAGAGAAGCAGCTCTGGAGATCACAATTTCAGAACAACTGCTTTAATAAGTGAATAATATGAGAATGCTCTTGCCCTAAATTTTCAAAGAAGACAATTGATTTTGGGTGCCTAACTTCAGACACATTGAAGAGGCTTGATTTTCAAAAGATGGAAACTCAACACTTTCTGAAAATCAACCCCTTTAAAGATGTCTCAAATTGGGCCCCACAAAATTTGAAGATTTTATAGAAATAAACAGCAGAAACGCAAAATGGGGTAAAAAATGAAGCAGATCACTCATTATTGTCCTAATATTATCATTCTGTATAACTGAACATTATAGTTGCTGTGGGCAAGGTGTGGGAATGGGATTCAGAGGCTGAAAAGGGAAAGGGCTACAAGGAAGTCCATCACTGTGAAAAAGTTTGAGAACCTCTGCACTTTGGCATTACCATTCTCACATAACAGTCAACAGACAAAACTTAAGAGTGTATCACATAACATGAGAATGAGTATCTGGTATTTCAGCAACAGTAACTCTGATGCTTTATTTTTGAACTTTAATGTACAACACATTGCTCAAAAGGAATGTCAGGATTGGGTTATGCAACCTATATTTTGCTTCACTTGACAAAGAGAGTATAGTTATAGAAACCACAGACCTATTCTGAGGATTTCTAAAAGGTCTGACATATTTCATTTTTATCTGAGCCGAGGCAAGACAACAGTGCTTTTGTATTTGGGATATATGCTAGAGCCACAAGAATATAGATTTCTACAAACCACGTACTTTGGGTGTATTTTTTCCATTCTCCTCAACAGTTATGTCTCCAAATCACCATTGTCTGAGTATGAGGCCTCAGCAATCTATGAACCATAACTGCAGGGACATCATCTCTTCTCTAATACAAGAGCTAATGTCATTGCATGACTTGGCCAAAAGAGGGCACTTGGGGAACAAGAGATGAAAGGCTCTCCCTAAGACTTGACGATATGTCAGCTTCACCACTAGCCCAACCGGCCAGAGTCCTAAATCAGTACATACTAGGCAAACACACCTGCTAATCAACCAAATTGGATAGCTTGTAAACTGCAGATATGCATATGTGTATACATATGTACAGTTTACAGTATATACATTCAGACTTTGTTTCTGTTTAACTCAAGATCCGTGTCATTTTAGGATAAGGTCACAACCTAGTTATTTCCTCTTATTTGGAATATATTTACAGAATATTAGATTTAGACTAATTGCTATTTTTTGTCTCTAAAGATTTCATGCTCTCATCATTTCATGTATAGGTACAGTTTACCAAATTTAAACACACTGTTTACAATTCATGGTCCAATACTGCAACAATTTATGTATTGCAAATGTGCTTTACCCAAAGTTAAGTAACTGAAAGGAAGATGTAAGAAACCCAGAAGGAATAAATATACATCCCACAATGAGTGAATCAAGGACATTTAAACTTGTTGATCTTCTCTTTAATCAAAGGCTTCAGTGCTTTAAATCAGTGTTTCTCAAGCTTTTTGATACCAGGGACCAGCTTGCTGCCTTCCTAAACTGTATCAGGCAGATCTCAGGGACTGGTGCCATTTTACAGACCGGTAGTTGAGAAACACTGATTTAAATGATACAACCTGCAAACTATGCTAATTCATTATCAAGAAAAGTAAAAAAAAAAAAAAAAAAATCCTAACCCTGTATTTATATACGTGTGTTTTGTAAAACACGTTTAAGCAGAATGAAAACAACTTAATTTCCATCCAGAGTATCACAGAGGATACAGTAGGTGACTTCCTTTTTCTTAAAGGAGATGCAGCAGTTACTTTATACAGTGCCCATTTGTAAATTTCAAAGGCCACCTCAACATTTTCATCACCTCTTGGACATTTTGAACTTTGATTTAAACATCAGCCATAAGATTGTTCTACAGAGAAACTAACAGTGAAAGAGAGAGTGAAAGGAACTTTCACTCAGAATGCTAGAAATCCCAGATATCCTGGATGAATAATTTTCAGCTTATGTCTTGTTTGCTTTGACTATTCACTATTTGTTATTCATGTTGTATGGTAGTCACCTAAGATGCATCCTGCTGTTTCTGCTCTTAGACTGGATGATAAACCTTTTCGGCAGAATAGTGAGCAACACAAACTATGAATTTTATCTTTGTGAAAATTCATGAAACCTTCAAGATTCACAAATACCTGACAATTGCCGAGACATACATGAATAATAAACACAACACAACACTCTAAATCATAGCAAAACAAAGGCAATACTTCTATGTGTGCATCAGTTTACTATTTGACCAGCTCTAATCTTAAGGTTAACATTTCTTGTTAACCACTTCTAATAAGAAGCGACCCTCCTATCCCAGAAAAAGAGCAAAATGGTCTCCTGTCCACACAATACACAGAAGAGGAAGTTAGTGCAGTTCAACCACCCTGTTTACATAGAAATTAGTGCTTATCTATAACATCAATATTTACATATAAATAAAATACTTAAAAAGTACTTTCCATACACATTGTCCATTTCCATAAACACCTGAAAAGTAATCCTAATTCTAGTTCTAGTAGTGACTAACCAAAACAAAATGTAAAGTATAACTTTAGTGACCACATACTACTTTGTATATTCATACATGATACTTTATATTGACTGATTAAACCTGCATTTTTTAAATGTATGTACTCTAATATTCGTACCATATCGATTATATGTGCAATTATTGCAAGTTACAAGGAAATCCTTGTGGAGAAAACGGAAAAACATGCTTTATATCTGCATAGTTTGCCCAAGAGTGTTTGAGCTCATAGCTTTTACTGACACAGGGACAATGATAACCTATTGTATTAAGACTACATTTTTACAAAACTGAGACTATAAGATGCAAGATCTCCCTTTATATCTTAAAAAAACTTCTGGAAAAAGTTTAGGAAAAAGGCTGCTTCTGTTAAAATACCACCTTTTTCCAGTGCTGTACTGCATGATTAATATCATGCATCATAAATAAAAGAAGGCATTAGAAAATTTTAAACACAATTAGCAGACAAAGACCTGTACATAATCTAGATAAATCTACTAATAAAAAACACTAAAAAATTAAATGCAGAATGACACACTTTGTTTGAAATCTATTAATCTATGTAAACTTCAGTGTTTCCTTAAAAAAAATAAAAATCAAAATATCCAGTATCGAAACAAAATTGGGTAACGTATCTCAATCATTTATGTTTTTGTTATTAACCTCAAACACACAAGAAATCCCTCTGGAAAACTAATTTGAAAGTAAATATGCCTTAAACTTAGAACTAGTACTAATCCCACAACAGAATCAAGATCACTATTAAAATAAAGCCTGGGGCACATTATGATGTCTAAGATTAGTGGGTGGATTTTAATTGACTTGAAGACTGTCATAGTTCTATTATCATAAAACCGGTAACGCACTTCCAGCATGGAGGACCCATCTGTGCCCACTATCCATCTGTTTAGACATGATTGGCAAAGTGGTAGGGAATTCGCAGTGGTTGCCGCTGCCTGAAAGGAATAAACCACAGGATCTTCCAGCGAGTGCCAAAAACTTCTGAGAAGGTCTGCTGCCATGGCTTTCGGGGCTTCGATCTACAGAAGACAGCATTATTAGTGAAAGACAGCACTCCCATGGTGCACTTCAGTCAGCTAGAACAATACAGATTGGCTGGGGATCCATTACTGGACTCTGATGAATTGTGTCCCAGCATCACAAATACAGCTTTTCTTTCATTATGACATGCGGCTGAGATTTAACTTTGGATAGGAGAAACTGAATCTGTGTCGTCAATCAACTACAGGCAACTTCTGAAGGGGAGGAAATTCTCAGGAGCAATTAAATACATGTCAGCAACACAGTAGCAAGTGCCTTTTGATCTGTGCTTTCGAGACAACATATAGTTTTGCTTGCTTTAGGTAGGCAGGGAAGAATAATAATCTGTAGCTATTTTATATAAAAACAAGTATAAAAATAGTGAACCACTGCTACAGAAAAGAAGCAAAAACATGATAGCATGAAAAAACTATTACCAGTGCCTTCAGTTTTCTTTCATACACATACAGTTTTTAAGCTCTATTAGGTCTTTATGTTGTACTTACATTTCTTCACAACAGTTTGACATTTTTTCTATACTAGTTGTATCCTGTTATGGGAAAGAAAACATTATTAGAAAATATTTCCTCACATACCTAACTTGCAAAAATGTTATCATTAAAGTATGTAAATAAAGAAAGAATGAACTGATCCTTAATGTAGATTCTTTTGGAGAAAATCTAGTAGGATTACATAGAGCTATACCCCATACAAATATCAAACCATTGTAAAATTTCATGTAGAGCAGTTGTATTCAGCCTGATAAATTATCATGCAGAAAAACTATTTTCTGTGTAGACTTTTAGAATGGGACACACTATGGAATGCTAACAACCAGATTAGAACCTTACTATAGCTAAATTAATCAAAACGTTATTTATCCAGAGGACATTTTAAAATAATACGCACAAAGAACCATACTTTTCTGAAAAGCACATTTTTGTCATGCTTTATACAGTCACCTGTATAACGAATGTTGTCACACAAAAGATTATCACAGGGACAAAATAAATTTCCACCACTATTTAAAATGTCACCATCAGCAGAAGTACTTGAAAAAGCAGATTAAGTAGTTTTAAAATATTTACTTTCACAAATAGTGCAATGTGAATAGTGCCACTAAGAGTACATTAACACAGTTTCAGTGATCTCTAAGTAACTGCTGTAGATAAAGGTGATTTTGCTAAAATTAAAGATAATAAAATTAAAGAACAACTTAACTGTTTCTAAAGTTAAGATAAACCCCTTCTATAATTTATAATAAAATTCATAATTAACTTCCAAAACCAATATGGTTTGCTTCATTTGACAAAGTGCTTTAATTGATAAGCAATTTGTTTTAGCTCACAGCATTTCCAAATACATCTTTAAATGCTTCCAATGGTTGTACTTTTATGTGTTCATATTCCCAAGGTGTGTGTCATAAATGAAAACCATTATTTTACAAGTCAGTGGTACTTCAGTTTTAAACTCAAGCAACATTATAGTACTTTTGAAGGGATAAACATGGATTATTATGTCCCAGAATAATTTAGACCATTTGATCCAAAATGTAATAACTCAAAAAAAAATTTTTTTTCAAGGCAGTTTGATAGGTCTCTCTGTTAATGATTAATTTAGGCAGGTACATAATGTGTCTGTCAGATTATATACTACTTTTTGGATGAAACAAAGGGCCTGTCCCTTCTACCTGGGTAGCCAGTGAAGATCCCATTTTCTTGAATAGTGGTTTTGTCCATCTCTGTCTTTAGCCAAAATTCCATCTTCTATTATTGTGAACTCTACAGATGCCTGAATTTTAGTTTGACAAGCAGTTTGAAAGCTTTCAAATGAGAGGCACCAAATACACATTGCTACCACATGATGCTTCAGTAAGTTCACATCAATGTTTCCATTTTAAATTAAAGCTCCCTCTATAGTTGCAAAGATGTTTCAGTTCTGGAAATCAACCTCTTGATAGTACCAAAAACAAAGCCACTTTTAAAACTAGTGACTAATTAGACAATTTCAGAATGAATGGTGCTGCTGTGGGATAGGCTGTTAGCTCAAACCTCTCCCTCCCTTTCTCCTCACATAATTCCTATTTATTAAAGCTTTGAGGCATCATACTAGCACTTTTGTTTCCAAAAATAACATTCCAAATGTCAGGTTTCAGAGTAGCAGCCGTGTTAGTCTTAGTATAATCTAGTTTTGTAGCATGTTTTTTTACATTGTTGACCCATTAACATTTTTTGTACTCATCTGAAAATCATAACATTTATAACTTTGGACACTGACTGCTGAAAGCAAAATTCTGATTGAGTGGTTGTACTTTTTGACTGAGTCTACAGTTTGGCAGGGCCTTTTCACTGACATTACAGCATCAATACCTATGGAATGATCATCTAAACTTTCTCTCTCATAACCCACTACAGCCTTTACATAAGTGAAACGGTTAAATAGGAAGAGGGCAAAAGTTTATAGACCTCTTTCCACTCATTTAAAAATACTAAAGATTTTAGCTGGAAAGGCAGTGAAAGCAGGTGGCCATCTCTCTCCCCAGAATGAAAAATTCTGAAGTCCACCTGCTAATGTTTTCAGTTTACATCAACTGAATTGGAAGCACAGAATGCCTTGTTTGTGGGATACCTTTTCAGAATTTAAAGCAGCTCAGCCACTTCTGAAGAGCTGTGAGCTAGGCTGAAAGGAATGGGAGGAAAGGAGAGTTCTCCTTTGAAGTTCAGCTGCTTGAGAAGCACTGGCGGCTGAACTTAAGAAACCAAGTCCCCTCTGCTGCTTCCCTCCCCCAGCATGGCTTCCAAGCAGCTGGGCCAATTTGAAAATTACTTTCACATGAAAGTGAAACTTCACAGCAACCTAAGAAACTTAGCAGCCAGGCTTGGGGAGGAAGGACACAATGGGCATTTTTTCAGTGTGCTTCTTAGACAGCTGAAACATAAATATCCTTCTTCCTCCTCACAGCTGAGACAGGTCCAATTCGAACCAATGATTCAAGGGTGAAAGGATGCAAATCCTGTTAATAATATCCTGGAACATCAGAAAGAAATACCATATTTCAGGAAGGAATGCTATTTTCCAAAGTACAAATTCAGTCCTGCTGGAAGGAAAGCTAAAGCTGCCACAATAAAAAACCTTTAAAGACCGACCTGAACACTGGAATGAACCAAAACAATGTCTTTTTGCCCATAATTTTCTGTAATCTCTTTGAAATTAATTCTGATGTGTGATGGAATAAACTGGTTCTTGCTCACATCCCAGTTTTCTATTCTGCTTCACGCTTCAATCACGTCAAAAAATGTTTTGGACACAATCTTTTGCTGTGGAAATCAGTGGGTTAGCACAAATTTCACTACTATGACTTCAGTACAGAATCAGCCAAGGAAGAAGGAAGACCTTATTTAGACACCAATATGAACGATCTCACATTTACATAGCATCTTTCATCTAGCTAGAAACCAAAGCCCTTTACAAAGCTTACTGATGGTACAAATGCTTCAAAGTAATCATTTTACCCATCTCTTGGGGTGAAATGTGGCAACTGTTTAACAATAGACTGCAACAATGCATACTAGTTTAGAGCAGAAAGAAGAGAATAATATTTCAAAGGAAAACGCAGGATGGAAACATAGGAAGGCAGAATGTAATTTCCCCAAGTTACAATATGACCAGGTGTCTAGAGTGCCTTACTCCACCAAAAAGGGTCGGGGGAACTGTAATTACCGCATATGGGCAGGACTTACTATGTCTAAGTCTCATCTTAAATAATGCACCTTCAGCAACATAAAGGCCTTTAATATCACATCCATTCATTCTGTATAGCTCAGAGGAAAGAGTGCCATCCACTGAATCACCAATATCATTTCCTGCTATATCAAAGCTTTCCCTAGTAGTCCCCTATCCTATTGCTGATTCTGGCTGACTGTGCTTAGCTCTTTGTATCTGAGATCACAGCTTGTGGTGATATGGCCACAGGCCACAGCTCTTCAATAAGCAAAATATATAGTTGGAAAAGTAATGAACCAGTGAAAGACGAGGAGTGTCTGACTGATTTAAACCTGACTGGTTTTTGTTTTGTTTTCTTTTTTGAGGGAGAAGAATGGAAGCGGGACAGAAGGCATCTGTTTTAAAGTTTTCACCAGGATAAACTTCGATGTTAGAAAAAGAATTCTAAAATCTTATTGAACTAGTGATTTTATTTCTTTATTAACCATGGATATAGTTATCAGGCTCCATGATATCAAATGAAGAAAGGAACCACAGGTTTGACAAAACACTTAGTAAGAGGATTCTTTGACACATGCATCAGGCACTTACCATTACTTCCCTGATTCAGAGCAGAAGCACTACTTCTACTGCTCTTTTTAATCTGCTTTCCCCAACCTCCACCTCTCAAACAACAAATCAGCTTTTCAAAGAAAACAATGAAAATGAATTCAATTATATTTTCAAACTTAGGCCCCTAATGGTTTGTCTACACTGCAATTAAAAACCTGCGGCTGCTCCATGCCCGCTGACTTGGGCTCACAGGGCTCAGGCTGAGGAGCTATTTAATTGCAGCGTAGACATCTGGGCTTTGGCTGGAGTGCACTAGGATCCTGTGAGGTTGGAGGTTCCTACAGCTCGGGCTCCAGCCTGAACTGGAATGTCTTCACCACAATTAAACCACCCTGCAGCCTGCACCTCGCAAGCCGGCACGGGCCAGCAGGCACGGGCCAGCCATGGGTGTCTAACTGCACTGTATACACACCCCAAGTCTTTATTTAGGAGCCTAAAAAATGAATTAATTTTCAAGGGCTGACCACCCAATAGCGCCCAGCAATGTCAACTTTATTTCAGGTGCCAAATGAACAGAATAACCAACATTCTAACGTATGACCTCACCAGAGGACTATAGGTCAGAATATTGTCACGGTTTATTATGCTTCTATGCAAAGCATTAGTTTGTTCAATGTTAGTATTCTGTTCAACCTAAGAGGCTTTGGTTATCTGTATGGATGACCAGCTTCGAGTCCTCGAAATACTAATATTCTTAAGAGCTATTTTTGGTACTGATTTCCAGCTAATTCTGATGTTTAAAGAGTTTTTAATTTACAAATAACTTTAAAAGTAGCACAAGTATGGCATAATTAATACAGTCCTCTTAACGTCTGCCTTCAAGAAAAATGAGAAGGTTACTCACCTTGTGCAGTAACTGAGGTTCTTTGAGATGGTTGTCCCATGGGTGCTCCACTTTAAGTGCTTTGGTGCCCTCTGCTTGTAATCGGAGATTTGTAGGAGCATCTCGCGCTGCTCAGAGCTGTTACCTCGCGTTCGCAGCCAACCGTCCCCCCAGTTTCTTCTCTACCCCAGAGGATCAGCGTTAAATTCCAAAGTAGAGGGGAGGACGGGGGTAGTGGAGCACCCACAGGGACAACCATCTCAAAGAACCTCAGTTACTGCACAAGATGAGTAACCTCTTCTTCTCTGAGGAGTGTCCCTGTGGGTGCTCCACTTTAGGTGACTATTGAGCAGGGCACCTTAGTGGAGGGGAGGCTTCGGAGTTGGTTCAGG